CCACATTGTTCTCACTCTCTATCAAGGATCTGCTACATAGATCCCCTTCCAAGTGGATGTCAGTGGTAGCCGGGCACCATCTAGTTCTTCTGGTCCCATAGTCATATAGGCTGCAGATCGGATGGTGTACCAGTCACTACACCCTTTGGATTTTAATGGCAATCTCTTCATCTTAAAATCTTTTCCCTGTGGCGCCTTTCAATTCACTTTCATGTCTTTAAGTAGAAATAAATCACTTGGCAGAAGACAGACTTCTCACTGATTATGCTCATCTAACATTCTTCTATCTTAATTCAGTAGTGAGGACTGAATAGCATGTTGCTTTTAATTTTTCTCACCTCCCCTATTATGCTTATAATTTCATAAATGATTAAAGCCCTTAAAGCATTTTTTGTGTTTTAGAAGCTCTGATTGGTTGTTCTCTTCATTTGAGACTTTTGATATCTGGTTGCTTATTAAATTAATAGTCTACCTTTTAAAAAATATCTTTTATTTTTCAGTTGCAGTCTTACTCATGACTCAAATGTTGATGAAGAATTTGAGGCCTGTAAGTAAAGTCTACTCAAAGTAGTAATTTATGTGTCTTTGTAGTGATGACTGGACTGTGATTTGGGACATTTAGCATAAGCTGGTCCTAGGTTTGTCTCCTCTTAAGGGCTCACTCTAAGCTGATGAGATGAGATTTCTCTACTGTTAGGAGCAGAGAAAGTTCTCTGTGTTTCTTTTCCAATTTACTTCCTTTACCTTTTTGATTCTGGATTTCCTTACTTTTATTGCTTCTCTGTTTTCTATGGGGGGATGTAAGATTCCAACCTATTTTTTTTTTAATTGTGATTTGGGTGAGGATTTACAGAGCAAATTCACTTTCCATACAGCAGTTCACATATACTTTGTCTCATGACATTGACCACAGTTTACCACAATGCAACAGCTCCCCTCCCACTTCCTCCCCATAGTTACCTCTTCCCAGTGTCCATTCCTCCATGTACTCCTGCCCCCTGAGCTGTCTCCCTGTGCATAAGCAGCCCTTCTTTCTCCCATGATTGTTTTCTCCAAGGAGTGTATCTACCTGAGGTAAATGTTCAACTCATATGCCTGTCTTTTGTTTGGCTGGAAATCACAGACCAACCTAAATTTTAACCAGCTCTAATTTATGGACTATAGTTTTAGGGAGTTAAAGACATGGATAACTAGATTTTATCAGACTCCTAATGCTTCTTTCTATGATTTAGTTGTGGCCAGAATGAGAATGAAAAAGAAGAGACACAACAGGTAAGTAGGAAGATTATTGAAATGACTTTTTCTTTTAAAGGAACAGTGTTACTTTAACTCTTCAAGTTGTGTAACCATGCTCACCCTCCATTTTTTTCAGATGTTCCTCCCTCTTTAACATAAAGTCACTGCCCCCCTAAGGTTCCTGTCTAATCTTTCAAGTTGCTGTTGTCAATTTGATTTCATATAGATCTTAAAAGAACATAATGCTCAAAGGAAGAAATTTTTCACCAGTGAAGCTAAACTATGTTTTGTTTTAAGATTTACAGAGTATCTCAGAGCAACAGTTTTATTTTTTTATTGTGATTTGGGTGAAGATTTTACAGAGCAAATTCACTTTCCATACAGCAGTTCACATATACTTCGTCTCATGTCATTGACTACAGTTTACCACAATGAAACAGCTCCTTTCCCACTTCCTCCCCATAGTTACTTCTTTCCAGTGTCCATCCCTCCATACACTCCTGCCCCCTGAGCTGTCTCCCTGTGCATAAGCAGCCCTTCT